TAGTGGAGTAAGGGAGAGTCACGATCAGACTGACTCGGCATCTAAACACTATTCAGCCAAAAATGACACCAAACCTGCAGAATGGGATAGCGGAGTAAGGGAAGACCACGATAAGACGGGCCTGGCACCTAAACACAAATCCCACATAGATGACATCTACCAAACTAGCAGGATAGTGGAATAAGGGAGAGTCACGGTCAGACGGACTCGGCATCTAAACATTATTCCGCATAGAAACAAATACCAAACCAATAGAGTGGGATAGTGGAGTGAGGGGTGGCCACGATAAGACGGGTCTGGCACCTAAATACTAAACCCACAACGATGACATCTACCAATCCAGAAACGGGAGAAAACAACTATCAAACAATATGTTTCTTATTAATTAAAGGGAAGAACTTCCCACTAAACCCAATCCATGGCCTATATAAGGCCGAAAATGGAAAGATTGCAAAATCATATTCTAAAAACAGGAAGCAGCTTAGGCTCTCCTATGTCTAGTCTGCAATATCACTTCTGTGGAAGCAGACGTTAAATCACCAAGATACTACTCTAAAATTCTAACTAAGGCCACGGTTAATCCTAACAATAGTGCTATTTTTAAATTTAACTGAGGAAATCAAAAAGAATTGGGTGGTTAAATACGCTTGCGCCCAGATTAGAGGCGAATGTGATGTTTTGTTTTGTGTTTTGTTTAAGGAATACAGAGATAAACCGTTATTCATTTTGATAGGTTCTTTTAAAAATATCTTATTTAAGATTGGTGAAATGTATTCAGATCATTCATTGTTCTTTATCTTGAGGTAAAACAATATGATATCCTATTTTCAGTTTGGTTTATGTCAATTCTAATCTAAATAGTTTAATCAGACCTTATCTAAAGTCTGTTCCACTTGCTAATTTGATTAACTATTGAGTTCACCCCATGATATAATAAGCAGATGATAAAACTTGTGCACGGGTGGCAGTTATAATATTTTTCATAGCACATGTCATAAAAAAAATATATTTGGCCAGACGGTAAGGAAAGGGGAAAGACTACCCGACTAAAATAATGGCGGCCAATCTTAAAGGAGAGAAGGAAATGAAAGAAGAGAAGGACGGAAAATATTGTTGTGGCCAGAACTTTTTATTGTTCATTTTAATTTTAATATTATTTTTCATTTTTCGCCTCATTATTAATTATATTCATGATTTTTTGATTAACCACATGCAATAATTTTTGTAACTTTGGCAGTCATTTTGGTCTCTTGGTTGTCAGTTAATATTGTTGTCATTCGAGTAGCAACCAGTATGGTATTGTCAGTATATTGTCATTGTCAGCCAGTGTTAGAGAGTATAGGGGCATAAAAACACGGTATTTGTATCATTTGTATTATTTAAGTGATATTGTATGTCAGGCTTGTCAGTCGCATCTCTGTTGCATTATCATGGCATGGAAGCATTGTTTACGGAGGCAGACCACCATTGTAGTTCGTCTGTCTATAGCAATTCTCTCTCTCTCTCTCTCTCTCTCTCTCTGTGTTTTCTCCCCTTTGGCATGCTTATTTTTGTTGATTTTTTGGTCTAGAATGGACGAAGAGGGCTTGAATTAACATTTTCTGCCAGGTGTTGGTAAATATTCATGATTTTGAGGCGGAAGGATAATGGGGTTATCAGGTTGGCTGCGGCGATATGTACGGCAACTAGTTACATGCTTTTAGTATGCTTCTTCAAGTTTGTGTGTCTCAAAATTTTGGTGGTCAACCTCATACAAATTTTAGTGCAAAGACATGACCATTTGTTCCTCTGTCTGTAGTGAAAAGCATTCAGCCCAACAAAAATTTGGGGAAAAGTTGGAGGTGGGCAAAGAGGCCAGAATTAACATTGAAGTCAATGGGGAAATTAAGGGTGGTCTGTATCCTTACACTGATCATTTAAAGCTAGTTGTCTCCCTTTAATTACTTTGAAACTATATCAGTCTTATTAATAATAGTTGAATGTTTTAGGCAGTTATATGAATTGTATGCTATTTTCCATTTATATTTAATTTACCTGGTGGTTTTATACTAAGTAAAGCCTTTATAGCAAATATTCCCCATGTCATTGCATCTTGAACCCCATCCCTTTGGATTGAACAGTGTATTACCTGCCAGTGTTAGTTGTAATTAGAATATTATCAGTGGTAGTCTATGACCTGAAATTTACTGTTATTTTAAGAGAATTTATGTTTGTATTTTTCAGTTAATCGTTAGACATTGTTAGACATCGTTAGACAACTTTGATCATCATCATATTGAGTATAGCCTTTTCAATAAAGAACATTTAAATCTTCATTTGTCTGATTGTCAACGCATTATGTGTTGCAGTATCCCCAATGGCAGCTTACTCCCTGCAAATATGAAGGAAGAACTACCTACAACTGGCCACCACGTCGATGTGAATAAAAGAAGAAAACGTTTTTAAACGCGTTGACCATTTGAAGAATTTATGTTATTTCAATAATTCGCGTGTGTGATCATTTACAAGAACTGGTATTATATGTGATTTCAATAACTCGCGTGTTTGATCATTAGAGGAATTTGTATTATGTGATGGTGTGTGACATTGTGGTATGAAGAAAAAAACTTTGTGTATATATAACTCTTTGATCATTGCTTTGTTCTTTGGATTTTCTTTTTTAGACTTTTATTTATAATATAACATTTATTCAGTGTTGAATTTTTTTATCGGTGTTTATATTTTAATTAGGGTAGTTATTGTCGACTCCATTTATATTTAAGTTTGTAACCATAAAATGTTATTTTGTAACTTTTTCCTCAAGGAAGAAAGGTATGTTACATAATGACAGATGTCAGGCGTACGTTATCGTGCCATCGTGACACATGAAAGCGGAACTGAATTTAATATCTTTATGTCTGCTATCGACACCCATGTTGTCCAGATGGCACTCATTATTCAATATCATAATATAAACTTATGACTGGCCAGTAAAGCAGTCTGTACTGTACTGGGGATCCTTTGTCTAGAAAGGGATTATAAGCAAAAATCAAACTGAGATTATCAGATTAGGCGAGGGGGTCTAGAAGTTAACGGGGGTCTAGAAGTTAACGGGGGTCTAGAAGTTAACTTGGGGCCAGGCAGGTCTCGAGTTAAGACCGGACAGCGGTCATGTAAGCTAGGACCATACCCCATCAACGAAAGCTAATTATGGAGCCTTAAGTTTTGTACATGATATGTTTAAACAAGAATAAAAGTATCATATGAAGTTTAAACCAGTGTTGTCATCAAGAACCTGACTTAAAGACCCAATTCTGTAACAGTATGCTACATCTTCCAACACTCAGAATACAATAAATTGAATTAAATTTCAATATTTCCATTTTTCATTATCTATTTATAGCAAGAACGACCAGCTCTTTATCTAAATCGTACATAATGCATCTTAATAAGAAATATAGTACAGAATGGTGCTATTGATTCACGGGTTTTTGGTACTGATAGGTGTAACAAATGTTAGAAAATATTCAGAGGTTTTATTGTGGATTTGCCGATCAGAGTCCCTTTTGTGACCTCGAAACATTTTCAAAAAGTTGAAACATTTTATAGTTTGATAATACTATTTTTGAAAGATCCTCAAGCACAAAAAAGAAAACTTTGTCTGGCAACATTCTTCCACCCCCGCCAGCTATATGAATTGGATGAATTGTTATGATTTCATGGGCGACTCGATACATTTCAAATTTTTATTGGGACAGAGTAGCGACTATAGCTACATCTTGTAACTGGTGTCGTGTACGAGGCATGGTATACGCAACCTTGGTCAAATGCCTGATATCTGTAATAACAATATCCGTTGGCCAGGTTATTCGGTTTATCTTAGTAATAGTATTTCGTGAAATTCTTTTGTGTGTCGCCGTGTCCCATACTTTGATTTTTTGGGATATTGATTTGTGAAGTTCTGTTGCAGTAAGTGTTTTAAATAATTGGGAACAGACAGAAGAGCGGAAGGATTGACAGAACTGAAGACGGTACACTCTCATATGAAATAATGTCTGTTAGTGACAAGATCAATAGTACAGATCTTTTATCATAGTTCACAATAAATATTGGATAATTGTTCGGAAGGTGCCCAACATTATAAACGAAATTAGGCTTTCATACGGAGAATACAAAATACAGATTGGAGCAGAATAATTAAATATGGGCAGATGGCATTGATATTCGGACCCCGGCTAATTAAATACGCGTGTGTGACATTGATCTTGGAATTTATACGGGAGACATAAATCAGTTGACTAGAATTGCAATCATTACATTTGAATGATCAACCGATCAGATGACAGTAGTTATATGTGCTGACTGCATTATTCTTAGGGCAAACACTGTACGAATAGAAGTTCAAATATGCATGAAATCATTGCATTATAAGTAAAGTTACTGCCTTGCAAAAGACCCTACTTCAGTAATTCGAGTATCGGTAGGTTAACTAAATAGTGAATTTAAACCACTGATGTTCAAACTTTGGCAAGTGAGTGACTGATAACGAATATATATCATTCATTAGCTTGCAGTTCGGATTGCAGTTCGCTTATTAAATATGCCCATATGATATTAATTGCACTTAATCTAAATATGCGACTGAAGGACAGAAAGACCAAGTTAAGAAGATCTCACATCCTCGCTAAGTCGCTTTCGTTAAAAAGCCGAGGACAATAATCACTCCTAAAGATTTCATAACGTTTGGATTAAGCTATATATTAATAATTTTCTAGTTTATGACGAAATGTGTAAAAACAACATCTCATCAAAAATGAACCAAGTGGCTATATCGAAATATGCAACACCCAAAGAAAAAAGAAAAATCATTTCGGCGGTGTTGGAGAATGAACAGAAAATGTCGAAATTCGTCCCTTTAAGGTATCCCCACCCTGACTCATTCAGACACACCATAACCGTTATTTATATGGACTGGCGGACTTAATACCTCCGTATTCATAAGCATGAAACAGGTTACATACTTCCTTGTGCTTAAGTTCTTCTCTAATGGCCGATAGAGTTTGCATCTTCCAGCCCTTACCCGGAAGTTTTCCATTGTAATCAGCAATACCAGTAGCATGGAAGAAGACATGTTCGTTTCTTCTATAATCTGTCTTGATCCTCATACTGAAAACATAAGTTTAATACACGGTGATACCGTTGTATTTCCCCAAAAGTCCGAAACACCTTTGTCTTACAATTTAGGTGTCAATGTCAATTTATTGTCGCTGTAAACCCTATTCAATTTTGACACCCAGCATAAAGCAGGGTAATCATATTTATTTAGACTACCAATTGTATCCAGTTAATTCACATGCATATCTGGATTGGGGTGTGTCACGTTTTGTGATAGTCTTTAAGTAGCTTTTAAACATTTTAATAACTTTACCCCTTAATCGGTCATCTTTATGATTTTACCGGTGCCCTTTAACCTTATTTTAATATTTAGCATTCAGAGGGCGCAGGACAAAGATGGAATTAGATTATGTGCAATCTTTACTTACGATGGATCAAAAGAGTGAACACGGGCATTAAATCTCTTTCCAATAGCATCATCGAAACTGAAGTCATTGTTTATTCTGAAACAACAAATAAAACATGTTTTGTACCACAAATTAGAAATTTCCTCGATTCTGATTGGTCAAAAAGTGTGGTTGAATGGACAATAAACCCCCCTCTAAATTATCAAGGCGAATTACTGCGTATAAATATTATTGTGTACTTTGTTTTTCATTTTTTTGCTCAATGATCTGCTTCAACACAAATCTTTATTGGCAAATATCTTCAAGAAATTCTGCACACACGCTCATCACACCATTTTCAAACATCATCTTTTTATGAAAACACATTTCTGAAATACATAAAACAGTTGAAAATCAGTCATGAATAAATTAAAACCGTTTTCAAATATATTCGTAACTAGGCAGTTTGTTTTCTTTTTTGGTAGGCTAGCTTCACTCACCAATTTTTACTTAATCAGCTGGAATTAGTTTTAAATTACGCTTTGATCAAAGTCTGACTAGCATGATCTACATAATAATAAGTCATTAGTCCCAAGAAATCGCTTGAAAATATAATGAGAGAGTCGAAAATAGCAGCTGAAATATAGGCCCTAATGCCAAAATAGACATTTGTTGACAACACGTCAGAACAGTATACACAGCAACCGCTAGAACCTTAGGTTAAGAATCACTGTCATAGTTTTACAGGGTAATTTTGAAGATGTAATTACAAACTGCAATTGTGTAAACAAAAACTGGCTACAGAATTGTGATAACAGTCTGCAAATAAGGTAATAAAGGCTAAATGAAAACTTACATGAAACTCCCGAAGCGAGGTCATCTTTGTCGCCAAGAGTTACTCCTCTTTTAGTCTCTGACAGCAAGCCGGAATTATTTCAATCACAGATGATGCTGTCGTCTCAAAATACCACAATAAGACTAATTTCCTGTTCTTTTAAACATCTTCAAACGTTAAAATTATTATTTATTTATTTTTTTTTTTTTTCGATATCCGAATAACATTTTCTTTCATAATTCATTTACCAGCGACTCGAGACTCAGGCATTTTATATTTACGGGAAAGCAAGCGCGGTCTAAATCTATTGAATATATTTTAAAATTAACGCAAGCACATGGCCAAATAACGTCTTTTTAAAATGGGTGTAAATATGTTTCTTGAATAGTTCCGAAGAAAATCTCTAATGATTCAAACACGGTTAAATGGAAAATAAACCACCCCTAAATACGAAACAGGAAGTGTTTATCACCTAATTATTATGTTTCCGAATAAATGCCATGTGCATGCTATATTGGCAATCCGGGACTTAACAAGAAACATCTTTAACACGTGACAATCTGTTTTCAAACCAGTGTTGAGATATTATCGTATTTGTGTCCCACTGTTGACATAGATTACACCCAACTTCAAACTACAACTGTGTTGTTTTTTATCAATTAATGTGTTGATTTATTTTATTCGAAATGTTACGCCACAGTTTACGCCAACAATAAAACTAAATCTAAAGAAGTCGACTTTCTCTTAATTTTTCGAAATGGGAGGGTACCATTAAAAGCTAAGGTGTCGATTTCATTTATCTGATGTAATATTTCGATTAGTGGTCGTTTCCATTGATTATATGTAAAAATTAATATGTACAAAGTCCTAAATACCTCTAAGGCAAGAGTTAAATGTGAAACGTCAAATGTTAAGTGTTAAATGACAAATGTTTTGTGGGAAAATGCTTTTTTTTGACGTGTCTACATTTTACATTTCTCTCATTACATTTTACATTTGCGCTCTGCCACATCCCATTTGTCCTTCACGCTTTCTACATAGCAACTTTTGCACAGCATCAACTTTCATATGCAAATGTAGGATATCACGTGACTTATAAACATATACGAAAACCCGGCACACTATAAACCAGCACACTATAAGGATATTCACCGCACGATAACAGTAAATCAAGCTGGCACACCATAAGAACCTATCTAGACGACCGTGCGTAATCATTGAATGTGCAAGGAAATAATTGATAGATTCAAACAGCCAAAGAAACATATTTTCCAGTAATTCATAGTACAATAACTGGAATTTCGTATTAATACCCGTATTTTGATATTTTAAACACCCCCTACTCTTTCCGTGCTCTCTATAAACAGAGTTAAGTTCAGACTAATTAACTTTGATCCATTAAAAAAACAACACTATATAAACATTGTGCCCAACAAATAAATAATATATTTAAAGAGAGGAATAACTATACATTTTTTAGTATGGACCTAGAGAATTTTTGATTAAGCCCCGTATCTTTATTTTAGTTTAATTTTGTCCCCTCCCCACCCTTCCTTCACTTCAACTTTAATCTAATTTTGTAAAGTTAAGCAAATATGAATGTGCCAGAAAATTATATGCATATTTGAAAAGAGCAATCAGTGATACGTAACATGGTATCTGGAATTTCGTATTTAGACCAGTATTTTTACTTGAATACCCCTTTAATAGTGTAATATTTATTGGATTTGAATTATGAAAATACGATTGTACCAGAAAACTATTTACATATTTACAAACAGAAATGAACGTGATTTTCACTAATATACTATCCAAAAAAAGTAGGGGATATTTGATTTTTAAGTGTTATTAAAGTCACCTAATGAAACTGACGAAGAAACAAATGACAAAATGAAATGAAGTTCACATTCATCGATTTATTCCAAATGATCGTTAGACTAAGTAAGGCACAGACTGACCATTATAAGGGTTAAATGATACCCGGGGTCAAACAGCAAAGTTACCAAAGCATCACAACCAAGTCAGTAACGGGTAAATCCTCCTCTGTTTGCCAAACAAGCATTGATCCGACGTGGCATACTGTGACATCTTGCGTTGTCATCCTGGAAGATGAAACGGCGGCCATGACGTCGTGCGAACGGCACAACATGGACTGCCAAGATGTTGTCCCGGTAGTACTGGCCTGTAACACGCCCTGCAACAACATGTAAAGCCGTTCTTCCAGCAACAGTGATGCCTCCCCACACCATAACAGAACCACACCCAAATCGATCATGTCTGATGACGTTAACGTCTTGGAAGCGCTCGTTTCGACGACGCCACACCCTCCTACGTCTGTCCAAAAAATCAACAGTGAAAACATCACATTGCTCCAGCGTCGATTATCCCAGTGTTGACGATCCCTACACCAACGACGTCTTGCCTGAATGTGATGATCTCTCAAACAAGGGATCACGCGAGGACGTCGGGCGCGAAGGTGACCCCTATGCAGTCGATTCCGAATCGTCTGGCCACTCACTCTCACACCAGTGTCTGTTTGAAGACGAGCGCTGATCTGATTTGCTGTGATGACACGATTTCTCAAGGCCAAGGTACGGATAAATCGATCCTGGGCTTGAGTTGTCGCATTTGGTCGACCTGAGCATGGTCTGTCCTGTACAGATTGTGTATCACGGTATCTGGACCATAGCCTGCTTATGACAGACTGAGAAACATTCATCGTCCGCGCCACAACCGCCTGTGTTGTGCCGATCTGTAACATGCCAAGGGCACGTAACCTTTCATTTTGGGTAAGCCGACGCATATCAAAATTTGTTTTCTGGTCACTAAAACAATTAAACTGATGTTTCCACCCTGGAATTCAATGCCACAATGACTGTGACATTCAAAGTCAGAGTCGTGCAAATCTTGGGTTGGACCCCCATGATGATCCCAAGCATCACCTGCATTCCATGCGGTAGCTATTTGTGCGTTTGGGCGTCACATGTAACTGGAAATGTTTCTTCTGTTAGGTTCTATAGTGACTTTTTTCGTAGTCATTTGCATATTTTAGTATTATGCCCCCAAAATCAAATATCCACTACTTTTTTTGAATAGTATATGTAACATGTTACCTGGAATTTCGTATTTGGACATTGTACAGCCCCAATGTAAAGTGCCATCCAAAGTGTCCAGGTAAGTACATTTATATTGTGTGCTAGGCTGATTTCCTGTTATAGTGTCGTGAATATCCTTGTCCTGGCTTATAGTGTGTCAGGTTCCGTACATGTTAATAAGTCACGAGATATCCTACATTTGCATATGAAAGTTGATGCTGTGTGAAACATGCTATGTAGAATGCGTAAAGGACAAATGAGATGTGGCAGAGAGCAAATGTAAAATGTAATGAGAGAAACGTAAAATGTAGACACGTCAAAAAACGCATTTTCCCACAAAACATTTGTCATTTAACACTTAACATTTGACGTTTTACATTTAACTCTTGCCTTAGGGGTATTTTGACTTTATCATTACCGGTATTAGGATTTTGTACATTGTACTTTTTACATATAATCAATGGAAAAGACATTGTAGCAGAGCATTTAATATTGGTAGCGATACCCTTCCATCGTGAATGGACAAGCTCTAATCAATCAAATAAAAACGGCCATATCATTTTAATCTTGTAATTAACTTACCCAAAAGAATAGACTAGACTCTTATTTTCAGGTTTATATGGCTTATCTTCACATAAATCCCACCCACCATCTTTAATGTTACCTAGCCGTATTCTTTTATTACACGGAACTTGAATCTGTTCTATATATCTGTCAATAAAAAAAAATCAAACACAATACAAGATTGCCTGACCTACTTAGGAAATGAAATGAAATGGAATAGGGATTAACGTCTTATTGTTCTGCACCGACTTACTTATATATCAGCTATTTTTCATGGACGTTAAAACATCTTTCCTTGAATGACATTTAGAAGTAGAGGTACAATACGAGCACAACGTTATGGATTTATTACTTCTTGTTTTATCACATGCAATATTTCATGTTAAGAACGACCTCCTTGGATATCTATTCACGGACAAATGCACATTTTCGCCGTTTGATGGACACTTAATCGCTGTGAACTGTTATCTAAATTACTAACTAACTTATCCAGACCATAATCAACTCTCGATGTCAAAGCTAGCGTGCGATATTTACTGGATTAGGGTCCCATTTGCTGCTCGACTTTCATTCATGATTTAATCATGAAATGGATAATCGAGACTATGTTTCTTATCGTACCGACTTTAGTAATGATGATCGAGGCTAGGCCCAAAATTCAATCGCTAAAATCTCGGTTCAGAGTGGATCAATTTGACTGAAAGTTTCAGCAAATTCCCTTTACATTAGCTAGTTTTTAACTATTATAGTGAGAACTGCCAGCTCTTTATCTAATCTCCCATAATTTGTCTTTATATTTGTAGATTTCGCTGGCGTTCTAATCCATCCGATGGGCTGGGGAGTTGATTATGGGTTTGTCATGTTAATAAATTCTAAATAATAGTTTATATAACATTTCAAGCCAAACAAAGACCGGTTTGGTTCTTACATAATGCATCTTTAATAACTTTCCAAACAATCCGAAGATCTAAATTTGTTACACCCGCAACACTCAATTAGTAATCCTGCAATAATCAACTAAACCAAGGTCATATTATCTGCCGTAATGTTGATGTGTGCACAAAATTTCGTAAAGACATCCTAAATGATGACAGTTATTCCGGAAGTCCTTTCTCTTACATCGGGATTTTCAAATGGTTTTAAACACAAAATAAACATTAATCAATTTTTACTCATTACCATTTAAGGTTCCAAAAATAAACAAATTAAATGGGCATTTTTGCTACTAAGATTATGTTTTAACGGCGATTACATCCAAAGCTACTGTATTACATGAGACAGTTGTTTCAAAAAAAACAAAACAACAACTGTAAATGGCCGTTTTTCGGTTAAATTTATTTGAAATTTGGAAAGGTGAGTCACAAAAAACAATGATGGCGGTCATCATTCAACCACTTAAAGATACATAATGGGAGAATCGATAACAATTTGGCAGTTCCCACTATAACAGTTAAAAACAAGATAATGTAAAGGCAATTTGCTGAAAATTTTATTCAAATTAATCCACTATGAATCGAGAACTAAGCGATTGAAATTTCCGACTAGCCTTGATCATCATTACTAAAGTCAGTACGATAAACAGCATAGTCTCGATTATCCATTTAATCGTTAAATCGTGAAGGAAAGTTATGCAGTAAATCGGCTCATAATCCACTATAGATCGCAAGCTAGCAATGCCATCTAGAGTTGATTTTGGTCTGGATAGGTTAATTAATGTCTAATTAATAATTTAGATAACATTTCAGGCTTAAAGAAATAACAGATAGACAGATTTAGTTCTTGCATAATGTATGTTTAAGTTAATATATTGTACTGAATACCAAACTTTATAAATCAAGCTGACCAACTCAACACACACAGGTTGTCGTAAAGTTTGTAACTCACTATATAAGCAACCAGAATGATCTGGTCAAAAGAACGATACTTGCTTAAAGGCAGCCCTTTCACAGACATTGTAGAATGTGATCTATACTCGAAGCACTGTACTACTGTAAAACATATTTTAATGCTTACCCAAAATATAGAATCGTTAGATCTTTTGCACTTAATTTGGACAGCTCTGCTATAGTAGGTAATACCCAGATACCGTCCCGGAAGTATGTTAATGCGCCCTGCTTTAAAAGGAGGAGAAAACAGAACAATTAACATATCATATTCGGGAGCTTCCTGGTTACCCCAGTGGTATCGTTCAGTTCTTCTCCACTAACCCCTGGGTCCATTCACGGAGGAATTTTCATGAATTCAAATTATCCGCTCTTGATGATTTCATTGGCCCCATAGGTTGATTCTACGAACCAATCAAAACACAATCTATATACCAGTCTTAGCGTCATTGTTTACGTTCATCACAGTAAAACGCTCGATTATGAGAAGAGTTGCAAGAAATTTAATGCCAAAGAAGTGACATTCCCACAAAACGATGTCTTTAAATATTCTGACAAAGTTTGCAATGACGATTCGGCGATCTTGGTTGCAATAAAATGCAAGTTACTTCCTTTCGCCCACTCGCGAAATTTTTGATTGGTCGATAAAAATAGCACTGCAATTAACAAATGCGGATACTTTGATTATATGTCCCCACTGTGAATGGACCGAGAAGTTAGTGAAGTAGAGCGGAACAATACCACTGGAGATACCGAGGATGATGATGATGATGATGATGATAATGATGATGATGATGAGAGAGAGAGAGAGAGAGAGAGAGAGAGAGAGAGAGAGACATGGCCAGAACCAATGACACATTCGTCTCAGACCTGTAACAATACGAGGGAAAAAAATCTATAGATTAATGATCATGAAACCTGCATCATTTTATAGTATGTTAGCATCATCTAAATCGTTTAAGTGATTGATCAAAGACACTATCAATGATATAACTGGAATCTGTTCTAGGAGTATTTTCCTTTGTCAAGAATACTCCACCGATTGTAAAGTGGTCGGACCTTTTCGGTAGAGTGCTCAAAGCGGTGTCACGCGGCTGTAATCTTTTCCTAAAATATTTCTTGGGTTTTCAAGAGGTGTCCAGCCCGAGGAATCCCTTTTCAGTAGAGTGCTCAAAGCGGTGTTACGCGGCTGTAATCTTTTCCTAAAATATATTTTGGGTTTTCAAGAGGTGTCTAGCCCGAGGTATCTCTATCTAAAGAATTCGTTTTCTTTATCTTTTTTATACTTCTCAACAAATCCATTAGATGCGGTTCTATCCAGTTAAACCATAAGTTAACTAAAAAATAAATACTTTAATACCTGTTCCTTTTGCTGTGTAGCTGAAAAAGAAAAATAACACCACTCTTACTGCTAGATTTAGAGATATTACTGCGAATATATTCAACTAATGTTAACTTAGATCATATTCATTTTGTGTTGACGCTATTGTTCGAATATACAAGCAAAGTTAGTAGGTCCACCCCGCTTGCTATCAATACAATTCAGTTTAGTTGCATACATTCTTAAATGAACAAAGCAAAGTCAGTAGGTCCATGCCGCTTGCTATCAATACAATTCAGTTTATTTGCATACATTCTTAAATGAACAAAGACACTTTTGAATTGGGTTGCTTTAGGTCAAAATAAAATATTGAATTGGGTTGATCCTAATGTTTTTGTTTTTTTTTATTAGTGGCGGGGCACGCTCTATACAATTAACATTTTAATCTTTAAGTGACATTTAGCGACCGAGGAATACATTTTAAAAAGAACACTGGATAACTATACGAGTGAGGATACGTGTCGAAACGTCGTGCCTTTAAAATAAAACCAGTGATTGATTACCCATAAAAATATGTTCTGTTTAAATTAACATAATAATTTGAAACATTAAGCGAAAGTGGGTGTGTTTAAACATACATTGTGCAAGGGCTAAATCTGCCTATTGCGAGTATTTCTTGAGGCCTGAAATGTTATCTAAATAATTAATTAGACATTAATTAACTTATCCAGACCATATTCAGCTCTCGATGTTTGCTGGATAAGGATCCGATCTGCTGCTCTACGGTCATTTATGATTAAATCAATAAATGGATAATCGAGGCTATGTATTTTATCGTACCAACTTTAGTAATGATGATCGAGGTTAGACTCAAAATTCAATCGCTAAATTTTCGGTTCAGAGTGGATCAGACCTCATACCAAATCGGTTTTCAAATTCATTTATCATCGGTGCATTAGTTCTTGTGATATCAAATAACATATTTTTCTTCAGTGGCCTATACTATGCACAAATCAAGGGAGTCGGTGTGGGTACGAAAGTTAGCCCTACCTATGCTACTTTAACTTTAGGTTATCTTGAGGAAATAAATTATCTCAGAGCTTCATAAAATGTTAAATAGTTTAGATGACAGTATTCAGTTTACATTAAATTTTCTGGATGTGACAGTTAAGTTACACGCGAACGGCTGTATTAAAACTGATGTGTATTACAAAAAAAAAACGATACACATCAATATCTAAGTTTTAACTCTTTTTACCCATCTCATACAAAACGCAACATCCCATATAACCTAGCTAGGCGAATTTGTACAAATGTGTCCATCTCATACGAAACGAAACATCCCATATAACCTAGCTAGACCAATTTGTATCCAATTTGTGTCAAAGTTTAGAGACTACAGGAACTAAAAAGTTTTTTTATTAAAACAAAAATATCCAGGTAAATTGATAGACGATGCTAACCAAAGGGGATTGAGTCTGGATCAAAGCGTGTTAAAACAACCTAAAGTTCCTGTAGACTCTGATAAAAGGAACGTTGCTTTAGTTACTACATTCAATCCGTCCCAGGAAAATGGGAAATCTATCATTGAAAATTACATCCACATCCTTAAAAATAGCCAAACGATGGATAAAACATTGAGAAAAACAAATATAATCAACAGTCTCAAGCAACCTTCCAATCTAGCTAGGATTATAACATCTTCTAAATATGTCTCAGTCGCTTCAATACCAGTAGTTTCGAAATGGGGTAATTCAAAGTGTAAAACCTGTGACATTATCATTTAGGGATCACCCATAAAAATTAATGATGATAATACATTTTATATCAAACAAGCAATGAATTGCCAATCGAACTATGTAATTTACCTTATAGCGTGTCCGGGATGCAAGGGAAGGTATACAGGAAAGACCAAAATGATGCTTAGGTTGAGAATGAACCTCCATCGACAGCACATACTACAATCAAAATACAGGATGATCCCGCTCAGTGAGCATCTTGGAGTATGTGGTGGGGGCAAATTTGGTGTACCACTCGAAAAATAAAGACCGTGGTGGGATTGAATATTTGTAGTAGGCTAAGAAATAACTACCCTTGCCTGTATAATAATTTGATCATGTAACTATCAAACCCATTTATAGATAAAGTTGCGACAACTGTGAAGCCAGAAATTGTATATGACGTCATGAAAACATGACGTCAAGTGTACAAAGACGCCATCTTGGGTCCTAAGTGTTTATACCTACTCACTATCTTATTTATGTCCTATCATACTGTTGTGTCGAAGTTGGCTAAATTCTCGACAGGGATGTAGATAGATATGTCATAGAATTCCGCGAAAAAGAGAGTAAAAAATATATTTTTTTAAACGAAAAGTATAGCTGAACAAACTATAATTATTATTATTATACAACAAAAAGCGCACATTATTGTTATACGAATATAGTCTAATACATACGAGATATCGTTCTCCGGAACTTCCTGGTTTCTTTGGCAATTTGTTTGGGGTAATACGTTATCACTCCCCGACCATGTGTAAATAATAATATTAATCTAATATATCTGACCAGCGACGCAAATCCCGCGCACATCGCTACAACTGTAATCCCACAAAACAATTCAACATATAAAATCCAATGAAATCGACAATTCAACATAATGAAATCGACAATTTTTTTTATTTTTTTTTGGGGGGGGGGGGATCCAAATCATAGAAGGCTCGCTATTTTAAAAGTTAAGAGCACGTGTGTGCTAAGCGATCCTACTCCTTGTCACCTACACGCAGTGAATCTAAACCGCGCCACTTGACACAATGACAGACCTTGTGATCAAACCCACACATATCAAATCATTCGACCACCCAACACTTCCGCTAGGTGTTCGGATGAAGGAAACTGGTTACAAACTGGTAATCTTCATTTCAAATTTAGTGAATTTAGTGACAATTTACATATTTATAAATACCTTGTTTTTTTGTCACAGTAGCTAATGCCGACTTCAATAGGCTCTTCTGGAATTAGAAAGAAAGTAATATATACTGAGCGCCATGAAAAAGCATCACTTAGTTTTTCGTATAACAAAATGATCCTGTAAACATATCTTATTTATTTTGCTTCTTATTGTGAACAATATTCAAATGGGACCACATCAATAACAACACCTTTGTACACTTATGGATGTTTAATCTGTAATCAACGGTACAAAGTCAGAGGGGTCAAAAACAAAAGTACGACACAGATGTCAGTAGCGCGTGTGTCCTCCACGGGCTCTTACGCACGCTGTGCAGCGGCGTCGCATGGAATTTACCATGTTTGAAAGAAGGCCTGTGGCAAATTGTTCCATTCTTGGACAAGAGCAGCTTCTAAAGCAGCAATGGTGTGCATCTGTGGTCTCCGGGGCAAATTGTTCCATTCTTGGACAAGAGCAGCTTCTAAAGCAGCAATGGTGTGCATCTGTGTTCTCCGATACAGACGGCGTCCAATCTCATCCCAGACATGTTCTATCGGTGCCATGTCCGGAGACATGGCTGGCCAGTCCAAGACATTGATGTTGTTAGCAGCCAGGTAGTCCATACTAAAACGGGCGGTATGCGGACGTGCATTATCCTGTTGGAAGTGCTAAAGTTGTGGGTGCGCTCGAAACATTTGGTTGCAAGACATCATCACGGTAGGCTACAGCATTAACGCGACCCCTGCAAATGTGTAGGACGGCCCGGTGATGAAATGTGAAGCCTCCCCACACCATTACACTTTCCCCACCCCATGGATTCGTTTCGAAGACGCAGCAGTCTGCAAGACGTTCCCCCAAGACGTCTCCACACACGTTTACAGCCATCAGCGTGATAAAGATGAAAGCGACTCTCATCACTGAAGAGCACACTTTGCCAGTCTACTCTTCTCCAAGTCTGGTGTCCTTGAGCCCATATCAAACGCCGCGGACGGTGATGATCCCTGAGGATAGCTCCAACATAAGGTCGTCGTGCACGGAGTCCTACTTCTCTTAGACGACGTCTTACGGTGTTGGCACTTACTGGTCCTTGTCTTCCGACGACTGCTGCACCTGTTCGAGTCGCTGGGCGGAATCTGTCACGCAGATGAGTGACCCGGATGTAGCGGTCTTGAGTCTGGGTTGTAACGCGTTGTGGACCAGGACGTTGACGGTCACGTGTTGATCCAGTAACTCGAACACGTTCCACCAACCTTACAATAGTGGACTGATGACAATTGAAGTGTCTGGCAATAGCACGTGTAGACATGCCAGCCCTGGACATTCCCATGGCTTCATTCCGTTGATTTTCAGTAAGTCTCGGAATCTCTAGCTCGATTCCTTCACACGTCCAACAACAAATTACGACAGATTGGCGTTTCACAGTTCGGGCGCGTGCCCAGAGGGTTTGAGGGGGTGGGGGGTCCGCCCCTCCCCTGCAGGCGCAGAGAATATTTTTATCTCCTGCAATCATAGAAATTACTTCGTATTGGCTCACTCCACTGTTATCCTTTACATGTATGCTACTAAATGAGCATACATATTGTAGGCTTCCGAATTTATCAAATTCACGGGAAGTTAGCGCCCCCGACCAAACACCAAATGTGGCGTTGTCTCAACCTTGGACCCCTACCCACCCCAACCGCTGCTCAAATTCATGGACTAGCCCCTGAATATATCCTAAATATCATTGAACACACCTCTGAAAGAACACCGGCACGCTTTCCGATTCAAAATTACCAGTAACACATGTTATGTTAAAGGACAATATTGGTGTCAGTCATTATCATAAATGTGATAGATCTGTTTAAACACAGAGATCATTGCTACGATAGATGCGCTATGAAGATTTCAAGAAAGGGAAGTAACGAACGTAAAAGGCAAACACGGGTTATCCTTCTATATAACTGACCGAAGTGACGAGTGGTAACAAATATACCGGCGAATTTCTGCTCACTAATAATTCCTTCGAAGACCAAAAGCTGTTATGTGAGACTAACTCTGGTTGGCCATGATCTGACGTAAAAAATCAACAACAATACGCGAATGGAGTAATCTAGCGTTGTCGTCCTTAAAGCTTGGCCTTGTGAGAGGCGTATGATTACCAAACTGGAACATACCACCTTGTCTAAGATCTCTCTTTTGCACCGTGGGTCATTAAGTTTACCTCTCTTTTACACCCATATGAAAGGCAAACCCATATTACCATAGAGGATGTTCCTCTGTGCATATGTCATTTTCCTATGTTACAGAACCCGTGCTCTGTCATCCGTCATGAATAAGAGAAAGGCACTCTCATCCGATCAGTGAATTATTCGCCATGTCTCAGTGATGGCATGCTCGCGGCATCATGCTAGGCGTACATCTGTCCTGTCACGAGACAAGAGAGATCGTCTGATAGGTCTCTTAAACTCCCTTCACACATAGCGAATACCTCGAAGTAGGGTGCATGTTTCATACCCGCGTAGTAAGGTCGTGTGACCGATCAGTTAATTATTCCCCATGTCTCAGTGATGGCGTGCTCGGCACCATGCTAGTCATACAACCTTCTGGGCACGAAGCAAGAGAGGTCGTCTGATAGGTCTCTTAAGCCCCTTTCACACATAACGAATACATGGAAGTAGGTTGCATGTTCCATACCCGCGTAGTAAGGCTGTGTGACCCCACCACGCTGTCGCTCTCAATATAATGGGTGGCGAGGAGGTAACCATGCAGGGCGTATAGCCCCATGGTCACGTGACAAGAGGGGTCGTCTGATCGGCCTCATAGCACCATATCCAGCCGATTTAAACCGATTACGAACAGTTCTATAGGATAGGGCAGTAGAGGTAACCATTCCCTTTTCAACACAATACTTGTCGCAAAAGGATGACTTGGCACGAGTGCCAGAAGATTTACATCTTCTCTTGCAGACGTACTGCGAGGCCTACCAGTAACGTTTACGATCCTTTATGTTATTAGTAGCAATGCAAAAGCTTTTTTAAATTTTTGAATCTGACTAAAATTGAGTATTTACTAGTTCTCCACCCCACCCCCCTCCTATTTAAGAAATGAATTTAAGACACACACCCCCCCCCCCCCCCAACCACACTTTTTTTTCTGAATTTGCAAAAAAAAAGTGACCGAAGACAATTTCTCAGCAACCATTGAAGATATAGGCATTAAATTTTCAGGAAACATGCTTCCAACCATTAACTATTTATTGGAATGTTTAAATTTGTGCTATATAATTTATTTCCTTTGATATAGGGGTCTTTCTATGAGAAACTATACGCCCACTTTCAGTGATGAGTGCCTTTTCCTGATAATGTTATTTTTTTCAAAATATAAGAAATAAATCGTAAATACGTTTCTGAATGTCCAAACCACGCACGACAAAAACTCTGTTTTCGTCTCAACACGAAAAGCTCAAAGACATCGATGTTGGTGTTCATAGAACTTCCCGAAGTCGCGGAACATAAACGACACATTTTACGGTCAGTTTTTTTTGTTGACATTGATAAAAATAGTATCAGTGGCGCCTCTAGCGAGCTTTTGCATTGCTATTATTAGTATGTTGATGTTTTCGCAAAGGTGCATAAACATTTGTATGTTTCGATACCTTTTTTTTGTGTATACATACCACTTTGTACATTCGTTGAGTTACAGTTATTAACAATTTATTGTTCTAATCGAACATGTCATAAACATGCTGACAAAGAGACACTTTTAAAAATACTTGCCGTATATTCCGTTTGCTTTTACAAAGTTTATAAATGAAATGAAAAGGAGTTTAACGTCTTACTGTTCTGCTCCTAAACTGGGCTAATGAAGACGGGCATACACCATCCAGTGTGCTATGAGGGAAGTGTTGCCCGGGCAGCGGCGCTACGGCCTACTCTTATATCGAATTCCAACTGCCAAGGGATCTTTTACGTGCACGCCAATGTGTACACGGGACCTCGATTTTTTCGTCCCATCTGAACGACTAGACAGCTGTCATTGTCAGGCCCTCCGTCCTGCATCACTGACAAGGGAAAACCACACCGGAAAATCTGTATAAACTTTCTCGGCCAACGCAGGGATCGAACACACGACCTCCAGGCTAGTGAGCCAGCGTCTTACCCACTTAGCCACGTGATCCCACACAAAGTTTATAAAACATTTGTGTTCTCTGAATTTAGACCATACTTTTGTTTCTTTTTTATGATGTTTATATTTACAATGCAGTAAGAGGTATCTAGTGTTGAAAGACTCCTGGAAACATTTGTCTTAGTCTTGTTCATCTATCAAAAGCCCTTTCATTGTAGGGTTGACAATCATAAATGACCGGTAAAATCTAGGACTTCTCCATTAATTCGATTGATTTGAAAAATAAATATTACCATTTCTTGTTTCTGCGAAACTGAAAAATAGAATAAAATCATTCTATAACAAAGAAAAAACAAAAGGACGGCTTTTATCAACGTTTCGTCACCGACATCCTTGGGATGTGATACTTCCCCGTTCTATCATGAGATCGATACTATATCCAGTTTCTTCGCCACCTTGGAGTATTATTTCGACAAATTAGATATCGAAATGATAATGAAATTTGGGTTAAACGTCCTACTTTTTTGCAGCAACCGGGATAATGAAGACGGGAAATTGTATATCAAATGAACATTTGATACCAATAGTTGACCGGCACATTAAGATAATTATTATTTGTGGGGCTGATGGCGAAACACATATGTGACGAAACTGTACAAACTAGTAATACATGTGCCTTGGGAAAAGGCGTCAGTTTAGTGATAATTTATATATGTAGTAGTTATTATATATGTAGTAGTTATCAAGACAGTTTTGGTCGGGGGCCGCCTCGGCTTCGCCTCGGCTGGGCCCCTCGACCAAAACTGTCCTGATATTCACCGATACACCGAGGAAAGGTGCTAATAAGTTACTTACATCACATTTCTATCGAGTATTGTGAACCAATATGTGAAAAATAGTATTTATCATCGAGTCGTTTCAACCGAAAAGTGACAAATACTTTCTGCTCTTTCATTATTTATCCCTTTCTGAGCCTCACGTTACATTTCATGGTAGAATGATTTCGCTGTGGAGAGACGACCTGAGTAGTATTTACACGTGCGTCTTGCTATGATACTCTGAGCGTAAAACAATCACGTGTTTGTTTAGACCACACCGTCAAAACATCTTATCTATGGCGTAGAGGACTGCGATATTATTAAATGTAGTGTAAAGGAAATGCGAAACGTGGGTCATTCCTGGTGAAAGTATGCATCGGCGGATGGTTCTTCCGTTGAAATTTATTTGTAATAAAGTTTATGACTTTCTAGGCGTTTTTTTCATCCTGCTTATTATCAATGCCTGTCTGTGAAGTGTCCAGCAAGAGAACTGCGCCTTCTATCATCACAATTAATTAAAATAATTATTCAATATTCTAATATATATATTTTGCATATTAATATAAATCAAACCAAATTATAAAATAGATGCCAATTGATATGTATAATAATTGATTTTTGTAATATGTTGTTATGTTAATTTAATGTCATTGTATATGTTTTTGAACTGCCATGTAGTTCCCCCCATTTTGTTTTGTTACTATGATTTTGACTAGTTGTTTCATGTACATTGGTTGGAGCCATCGTCTTCATTTGCGATCTGGATCGGACTAATCGTCCGCTACTGATTGCTTGATAGGTATCTAAAACGGTTTAAGAGTATCCGTGTATCAGAAATGAACAGTACTCTCTGTACATTACTGATACACGGATACCTTTAAGCATGTTTTGCGATTAAACAGGACAGTTTTATCAAAGGTTGCCAGTGGCAACGAGTAGAAGTGGGATGTAATTATAAATATCTACCTTGGTCTCTTTTTACATCAGATATTGCGGACATAATGCGAGTCGCCTGAAATTAAAAAAATCAAAATAAAATGGGTCATTGACAAAAGAAACTTCTATAAAAAAACCCACGATATTTTTATTTTTGATCTGATCTGAACTTTTTTACTTAAATTTGAATAACAATTTTCCAAATGTTAATTTAGAATTAGGTACAATTAAGTTTAAATATCTGATAGTGACTCTGTTGGTTTTTATTCCTAACAATATTTATTTAATCGGTATTATATAATCTAAAGATACGTAATTACTGGATCCGAAAAGAAGCCGTAGTCTATATATAAGTTCATCTCCTTTATGTTGAATATATTATATGAAAAAATAATCCTCCCCAATTTTCCTTTTTTATAGGGCTCTGAATATGAAAGGTTCCTTGCTACAACCTCTATGAATAACAGAGTGTAAAACAAATAGACTTTATTGCACGTCAGAAAATGAAAATGTATTTTACTATTATTTACTGGAAGAATCAAACAATTTTGAATGCAACAAGCGGATTAAGATACGCCCACACTCTGCAAGAGACGGACAGAGAACAGGGAAAATCGATAGAGCTCATGCTCTCATTGTCCCAGTGCTTAATTTCACACCAAACTTCGAGCGAGCCGCTGTGGCTCGGTCAGTAAGGCACTGGCTCAATAACAAGGGGTATTGGACTCAATCCTGGTGGTGGGGGAGAAAGTTCCCCAGAATTTTCCAGTGTTTATCCCCTTGTCAGTGGTTCAGGACAAAGAGCCTGACAAGGACATTGTCTAGTCGTTCGGATGAGAAGAGTTCCCGTGTACACGTTGGGAGGGGGGGCGGAGGGGGGGGGGGGGGCTCTAGAACACCAATTTGTTTGTGGGCACTCAACAGGTCACAATTTTTATCTATCTCCCAAAGATCTCGGTTTTTTATGATATTGGCACGTATCGGACCATAACTTGAAATACGTGTTTATAACCCAAAGATCTTGGTTCCTTTCGACATTCGTGCATATCGGACCATAACTTCTTGCATTATGTCCCCTGATTGCACGAAAAATCAAGTTTTTGCTTGTGGTCCTTCTAGAGGTCACACTTATTATCCGATTTACAAAAGCGTTCGAATTCATCACCGTTCCACAGTAATGATGGTTAGGTTTGAATTTCTTGAAAATCTGACCCAAACCGCCGGACAATATGGCAGCCCCTCTTACGGAAATAGTGTAAAAATATGGTATATGTAGGTTGTGGACCATCTAGAGGTCACAATGGTGATCCGATTTTGATGAAACTTGAAATGCATGTTTATAACCCACAGATCTTGGTTCGTGTAGATATTCGCGCACATCAGATCGTAACTTCCTGAATTATGGTCCTTGATTGTACGAAAAATCGAATTTTTAGCTTGTGGTCCCTCTAGAGGTCACAATTTTTATCCAATTTAAACACCAAAAGATTGACGGGCAAAATGGCTGACCCTCGTACGCAAATAGTATTAAAAAAAATATGGTATATCAAGGTTGTGGACCCACTAGAGGCCACAATTTTGATCCGATTTTGATCCGATTTTGATGAAGTTTGAAATGTATGTTTATAATCCAAAGATCTTGGTTCCCTTCGATATTCGCGAATATATATCTGACCGTAACTTCCTGGATTATGGTCCCTGATTGTACGAAAAAAAATTCAGCTTGTGAATTCTGTAGAGGTCACAATTTTTAGAGGTCCGATTTTAAAAACCGTTGAAGGTTAAATTCGAATTTCGGGAAAATCAAAACGAAACTGTCCGACAAAATGGCCGCTCTTTGTGCGGAAATTGTGTAAAAGTACGTAATACGAAGGTATGTGGACCCTCTAGAGGTCATAAATTTTATCCGATTTTGATGAAACTTATAATATATCTTTACATCCCAAAGATCTCAGTCCATATTTGCACATTTCAGACCATAACTTTCTGGATTATGGCCCCCGATTGTACGAAAAATCGCCTTTGTTTTTAGCTTGTTCTCTATCCCTCTCTAGCAAAATGTGGGCGTATCTTGCCTAGCAACCGTTGGTTTTATGTACCGGTATCTTATTGTTGTGTTAAAATATTTGTAATTAATATTGTTCTAACAAGAAAGGTGTTGTCTAGTAATTCAGATGAAAAAATAACATGTACATATCATGTACGTGAAAGAACCTGTATATAAAAGAACCATAGGTACGTAAAAGCAAAGCCCTGTATAGGGAAAGTTACGACAACTCATTTACAGGCGCCATTTTTGGGTCCCAACTATGACGCTATAAAAACTATGACGTCATGGCGTCATATAGCTTTACTTAGCAAAACGTTTTATTTTTTTCTTGGTATAACGTTTTACGGGCTATAATTTATCATAAAAAAATTGCAAAAGAAACCAATGCAGTTTGGTTCAATGATAATATGTCAGACAAAATCATACTCAAAATCGCCCAAGGCAAAATATCATGATTAACATAATTCAATTTGGCGTTCTTCCGGAATTATCGAGAGCGCTATATCGTAATCAGTGTCTTTCAGTGGTGGTAGGATAAATAATTTATTTTTAAATTACTCAAACACAGAGTGGTTATGCAAGAGAAGTGTGTCGAAAAATCGAATTTGACAAACATCAATTTAAAAATGTATTTTTCATTTGATGACGGGCATTTCTTTCAAAATGACTGCCAAATTTAAAAAAAAAATGAAAAAAACTCCATTAATTTGGTAATAAAAGGGCAGCGACATTCTCAAAAATTTAATTTCGAGAATTCTTGATGGTAGAAATTCAAAATGGCCGGTAAAATGAAATCCAAAATGGTGGAATTTTCATTAATCGTCATTTCTTTCCGTTGGGTATTACTTGTAATATGTGGTATATTAATCCCGAAATGATATAGTTGCTCTTAAATGAATATATTGTTGACGCGCTTTAAACATCTAGATGCAATAGACAAGGTGTAGAAAATTCTAGCTACATTGAAATGTTGGCAATAAAGATCCAATCATAGTTTTTAGTTATACACTGTTAACTATGGCGGTATATTAGATTCAAAATTCTAGCGTGCTATCGTCTAATTTCTAACTTCTGTTCATGTAATTTTTAACTTCTATTCATGTAATTTCTAACTTCAGTTCATGTAACTTTTAAATTAAGACAATGTTTTATCCAACTTCTTTATTTGTTCAGTGTAAGTTTAAATTCTATTTCATCTTATTTCTATTATTTAGACGAAAAACGTCTCCTTCATTGATGCTTTACACGTTTAGCATGAACATAACGAATTTAAAAAATGTACACTTCTGCCTAGCAACCATCATTATGAAGTCGTTTGGTGTCGCCACATTGGTGATTGCGCACCTGGTCGGGACCATTTGCTGATATAAACGACTTGCTCTTGCTCTGGCTGATGGTTGACCAGAGTGCTGAAATTTAGAGAGTTAGAAAAGTGGTTTAACGACCATACTACACAAACTAGGTCATTTCGGGACAAACATATGGTTCAATTTTATTTCAATAATTCGCTTGCGCGTAGGGGTCTAGCACTGGGAGGAAATCGGAGAGCCCGGAGAATACCCACGAGGTTGGACAAGCGACCCTACTCCTTGTCACGTACAACAGGGAAATCAATGCTGAAATTGTAAACAACATCGAACGTGATATGGTTGGCAAATACTATTTCAAATATAAGCTAAACAGCATTTGTTCATTCATTTTTTTAAGACAAGTACAGGATTTGGAGAATTTTATTTGATTTTTTGTTTTTACAGTCAATTTTAACACTCCGCCAAATCATTCAACCTGACGAAGAGCGAGTCGTATGTATCAACATAATGGTCCCGATCAGGTGCTCAAACGACAACAAAGTAGACATTTTTCGTCTTAATAATAGAAATAAGATGAAACAGAATTAAAAGTTACACTGAACAAAAAATAAAGAAGTTGGATTATACATTGTCTTAATTTAAAAATAACATGAATAGAAGTTAGAAATTACATGAAGAGAAGTTAAATATTACATAATAGAAGTTAGAAATTAGACGATAGCATGTTAGAATTTTGAATCTAATATACCGCCATAGTTAACCACCCGTAGATGTTATAAATGATAGTGCATAAACTTCAGGGAGAGTGGACGTGTGTAAAGCAGCTAAAGAAACCAGTCATCCATAACGAAAATCTCAACATTATATGGGGAGGTTTTAACTTACTTCAAATGTTTACGCTGATCAATGGCATAATATATACTATGTAAATCCGGATATAGTATATATTAAATGAACTTGTAATATAAAATGTGCCATAAACAAAAAAGAACGTGTGTTGAAACTTAAGATGGCGAGTGGTCTTTCACCATTTCTTGTCCGATCAAATAAAGTAAGCACAAGAGGTCAGTCTACATTACAGTTTGGTGAGGGTAAATCATCGGATATTGATCTGGCGAAAAGTTTAATCAGTATATCACAGATTTTAACAGATATTACTCAACAGCTAAGTGAATATAAGGTGGAACTCGGTGGTATAAGAAGTCAACTAGAAACACTGGCTGTGGTAAAAGATAGTTTAGAAAGTGTAAAAAAAGAAAATACTGAATTAAAATCAAAATTAGAGAAGCTAGAGGAGAACTCGAAGAGAGATAATCTATTACTTTTTGGAATAAAAGAATCTGAGGGAGAGACGCGTGAAAATACAGAAACATTGGTAAGAACATTTTTTGTGGATAAACTTGGTGTAGACTTGGCGGGAAATGATGAACTATTACCTATCGAAAGAGTTTTTAGAATTGGACAGAAACGTGGAAAAAATCGCCCAATACTTGTTCATTTATTGCGTCTTAAACATAAATACATTATCCTTAACGCATATAAAATATGGAGATATTCAGAAACAGAGAATGGAGAAACGAAAGCTGAATATGTTAAAGAAGATTATCGTAAACGTGTAAGAACCTGCAGAAAGAATCTTGGCGCGGTAATGATGGAAGTCAAAAAGAATCAACCAAATGAAAAAATATCACTGAATTATGATAAACTTATATATCA